GGGTTGGCCACATACACGGAGGCTGATGGTTTCAAACAGGCCCAGGCTAGCTAAACAATAACAACTGCAAGAAAAAACTAGCCGGGCATTGTGGTGGATACCTGTGGTCCTAGCTAGTAGCTAGGCTGAGGCAAGAGAATTGCTTGAGCCCAAGAGTTGGAGGTTGCTGTGAGCTGTGATGCCACGGCATTCTACTGAGGGCAATATAGCAAGACTCTGTCTCTAAAAATAAATAATTTACATTTTGAATTTTACATAGAAAATCTCAGCTTTGTAATGCATTAATATCAAAAATAAGATTATCTTAATTATCACATTTCACATGAATCTAGGATAACCAATGATCTTGCCAAATCCAGTGGTCTTTTTTCTGAGTACTAATTATAAAACCATTCACAGTTTTTGACACTCTATCTCCCTGATCACAATTCTTTCTCCTTTCTCAACCTTTCTTGCTTCTAACATCTTGAGTTTCTTCCATGGCTCAAGTCATGGTCTTTCATTCTATTTTTCCCCTAAAAAGGAATTTATCCAATCTCAGGCAGAGCCACCCAGCAGAGCTACAAAGTCTGTGCACTACACAACTCCAGGAGACAATGAACACACAGACACTGGTATGAAAGGTACCCATAGAAACAGACCGCCCAGCAGCATTGTCAGAATGAGTCATTTAAAGAAAATGCTTATAAGAGTAACTAGAACATAAGAGAGTCAGTATTTGTAGTTATTATTATCTTGGCTAAGCCAATAGCCAGAGTAATTCTTTTAAAACATGTCCCTCCTCAGTTCAAACCCCATGACCTTCAGATCTCAGTTAAAGCCAAAGTCCTCCAATATGGCATAATATCCCCATACGTACTCATTTCTCTATGATCTCACTTCCTTCAACATTCCCTTCAACACTCATTGCTCCAGCCACTCTAACCTTTTACTATACCTAGTCCTTAAATATACCCCCACACTTTACACCTGATGTTCCCCACAATTAAAATACCCTAACAGATTTTATATGGATCATTCCCTTAATTCCTTCAGAGCAAATGTCACCTTAACAGAGTGACCTTTTCTAATCAATCTAAAAATGGTCATCCCATGCTCTCCCCTTATACTTGTACCATCTGACAAGTATATTGTGTATTTATTATCCTTCGCTCGTGTACCTCCCCCACTACACATCAGAATGTAAGATCTTAAGAAGAGGACTTTTGCCTGTTTACCTCTCCTATACCAAAGTTATCTAGAAACACTGCCTGGCACAGTAAATGTTGCCAAAATTGTACTGAAAATCTCATAAATTTTGTCCACAAGCCCATTTATCTACTTTAGTTTTTCTAAATTTAGTCTTATATAGTCCTGCCTTATAAGTATTGTAAGTACTAATGAATTTCACCTTAAAATAAGATACTCTGGGCCAGATGTGACGACTCAAACCTATAAGCCCAGCACTTTGGGGAGGATGAGGTGGGATAATCACTTGAGGCCAGGAGTTCAAGACTAGTCTGACTAACACAGCAAGACCCCCATCTCTACAAAAATTAAAAAATAAATTAGCTGGATATGATGGCTTGTACCTATAGTCCATTACAGTACTCTAGCCTGTGTGATACAGCAAGACTCTGCTCAAAAGAAAAAAAAAAGAAAGAGAGAGAAAGAGGGAGAGATACTCTGGTTTCATATAATATACTAGAACCTCCATAGTTGAACACCTCCCACACTGAGTACCACCATAAATTGACCTAATTTTCATGGACTGAACATGCACCACATGAATCTATCAGTAGGCCTCTAGTAGGCCTAGTTCCTTATTTTGACCACCTCTGTATGTTGATCAGTTTGTTATGGCCCCTTGGTGGTCAACTTATAGAAGTTCTGCTGTATGTTAGTTTTTATAAATATTAACACTAAACTGGTAGATTATAGCTCTAATAAGATCAAATATGGAAAAAATATCCACAACTAAAGTCATCACCACGTTCCTCAAATCAGCTGTCTCTTCTCATCACTAGTTCTATTAGCTACGCCTCAATCACTCAGTGAAATTCAAGTTCAAAATATTCTGATCAGGATTTATTCTTTTCTCTAGTTCACTAAATATCAAATCACACTGTAAGTCAATTGATTGTTCTTCTTTTAAAATATCATAAAAGAAGACAATTTTAAAATTATATGAAAGACAGTTTATAGAATAAAATTACAAATAGTCCTTAGATATATCAAAACACAAAGATGCTCAGCCTCACTTGTCATGAAAGTTAGCATTATATTTGTTTTTGTTAACCTTTCAAATTATCAGAACTCCAAAAGCTCCATAAACTCTTTAATAGCACAATTATGAGGAATCCAGACAATATCAAACACTGCTTGAAAAAGCAAAAACTAGCATAGTCACTCCAAAAAGGGGCAATTTGGCATTATCTACCAAAATTCCAAAAGCACATGCCCTTTGACTTACAAAATACTGTGTTTCTATAAAATAGAATGAGGATGCTCTTTGTGTTCTAAAATAAAGGATCTTCTGATTGTGCAAAAAACCAAATAGAACTGACTGAATATTTATGGTATATTTTACCCCTTTTCAAATCATTTAGCCCTGAGTCACTTCTAAAAACTTAGTTCAATCTTCACACTTTAAAAATATCATAATTATGAGAGATCAACTTCTAGCATGAAATCATAAGGAGCCCTGTAGACTGTTCCTCAGTAAAACTAGGGAAAACTATAAAAAGACAACCACTCAAAGTCTCTGGAAATGGTCCTAAAGGCACATAGCAAATGAAGACGTATCTATTCAAGAAACTGAAACTGAAAGGAACTGACCTCATTTGCAACAAGGCATGAAGTCTAAGGCTGTCTCTCAAAAATCTCTAAGCTTGTTGTGAACTGCAATTAGGAGATGATTCACAGATTCAGAGATTAGACTGCAGGGATAGACCTGAGTAAAGAGATGACTGGGGACAGCCCTGTTGGGATCATAACATGTATTAACTGATCTTTGGCATTTTTCTTTCAAAGGGACCATAAATACTGGAATAGCCAGTGAAGCAATTTATGCCCCATGGAAATATTATTAACAGAGCAATAAGCTTGCAAACACTAGAGTTTAAAAGCTGGTGTGAAAGAAAAGAAAATGTAAAAGAAAAAAGGGCCCTACAACTACTCTTCCTAAGGAAAGGGTGGGCATACCCAATGAT